AAAAGCCTTATTTCTGAGAATATTTAACTGGAGAGTTGGCAATTCTACAACTGTTGTCATGTAAGCTGGCAAAATGGATCACAATCTATTTTAACCTCAAAAACTGATATAGCGATAAAAAAATATTAGAATTTTGAAAATGTGAGTGAACTTTTAGTTGAGGTTTAAGGTTATAAAATGATACCTCTACCTACACCCCAAATACTTTTGGATACTGAAATTCATGAGACCACATACCACTCATAACAAAGTTATTATTTTAGAAGACACGCACACGCGCTTATTAATCTACAGATAGACAAAAAGATTCATACAAGTTATCATAAATCAGACACTTCATATAAGTGCAGAAAAGAGCCAAAGCCATTAAAATTTTACAATTTTCTTTTTTTTTTTAAATTTATTTTAAAAAGTGTATGTAGGTGGATATACTGGGGTAATGAAATTTGGTTTACATTCAAATCCAAAAATAAAGCCAACTTTTGTGAAAAGTAACTGGAGAAATATACATTTTATTTTAAATGAACAAAAGTGTAAACAAAAAAAAAAATAGCTATTTCTTAACAGTGATTACATTTATCAACAGAAGAGTTAATATTTCCTGTATGCCAAGATGAAAAGAAGCAAAAAGTAAATCTACCTAACATTAACCATACAAAAGGCAATATTGATTTTAATGGTGGTATGCAATATCAGACCACTATTTGCAAAAACAGCATCATTAAGTCAGAAAGTTAGTGTCTGTCTGGTTGACTGCCAACATCTTTCAGTCTTCAAAGAACAGACAAGAGGTTGTATTGATAGCTGACAATCGACACAAGAACAGAAAAGCATTGCAGAGATATTTTGCAAAACAGAGGAAAATAATTACATTCATTTGTAATAGTTTTCTTCTGTGTAGATTTTATAAATTCATGTACAAATAAACATGGATTTTGATAATATTAGTGTGTATCTATATTTTTTTTTTTTTTAGAATGGATTTTTTTTTTTTTATTAACTCGACATTTATCACTGTTTATTTAATATATGTTTTTTAAACATTCAAGCCAGGTATATGTAATTGTGTGTGTGTGTATATATATATATATATATATTATATATATATATATATAAAAAACAGAGTGCACATACACACACATGTCAAAAATGTAAAGTCTTCTTACACAAGGAAAATTTTTTTTTTTTTTCATTTACAAACTCACAAAGGTGCTGAAAAGTTTTTTTTCCTCACCAAGAAAGTAAAAAAAAAAACCAAAACAAAAAACAAAAAAAAACCCCTGATATTTGGTCATTGGATCAGATATTGGGATGTAGGTCAAGCAGAGTATTAAAAAAAGAAAATAAATTAAAATCAATATTTGCAGATTAAATAAAAATCATTAAAATAGTGTATTGGAATAAATAAATTTATGCAATCATGTACATTTTAAGATTTTCAAATTCTATATCATGTTTTTATACATTCAGACAATGTTAGAAAAAAGAAGATTCAAGGAGTTGGCCAGTTATACCATTTCAATAAATTAAATCCTAGCTATTCTGGTTCAAATAAAAGACTTCCCACTTAACATGATGACTAACAAATCACCTGAGATTCATCATATGTAACAAAAAATGTAAAACTTTCTGGTTACTAACAACACCTCTCAAAAAAAAAAAAAAAAAAAAAAAAAAAAAAACACCTTGCAAAAGACTAATGTTGGACACCAATTTTCTTGACCCTTGTGAGAGAGTGTTTGATGATTATAACAAATACTGGCCATATCACAGCATTTCTCTTGAAAAGATTGACCCGTTCCTTCTAGCAAAGTTCCATATATAAACTTTTAACAAATCCAGTGTCCCTTCTAATTAAGGTCAGATTAGCTGACAACAGTTCACTGCTAATCCAACTGCAAAATCTATTTTTTTTTTAAATTTTGGAGGCTCTTCACATCAAACCATGTCATCCTACCATTAATAAAATCTGTTAATCTTAATGACATGCACATATGAAAATGACTGAACTGTAATGTCATTTTAGTTCTGTGACATTCAAATCTATTTCACCATGATTGAATATGAATCCACTTTCTTTTCAAACTTTGGCCCATTAACCTCATCTCTTGACTTTTCTTGAAAATGATCAAATGATGGTGAAATTAGTTGGAATATTACACACTTTGGGCAAAAACTTATTTACCCCCTGGAAAAATTTGCCCAAAAGTTTGACATTTGTTCATTTTACTTCATAAAATAGGGGTTTAAAAACAAAGGATCACTGCCTAAATATACATAAATTTATTTACAAAATTTTCATCTTAAGAAAAAAAAAGTAAAAATGAATTAAATTTAAGTAAACAATATAAACATGCAAATCCATTTATAAAATAAAAAGTATGGTCAGCATCTTGAAAGAGGCAAAAAAATATTAATAGAAATGTACACTTATAATGATTAGAGTAGATGCTCTGTGCTTTGTTTACATTAGGATACAAAACTGAGCACTTTCAAGACTCTTTGGGGAAATTTATTTTCTATAAGGCACTATTCAACTTTGATCAACAAGACCCTTCATGGCAGAATCGATTTAAAGATCTAAAACATGCCATATCTAACAATAGTTTCTCCTGCAAAGGGGTAAAAGTTCGAATCCTGTTGGAGAGTGCATTTTTTCTTTAAGATTTCTCAAATATTCAGGCCTGTATACAAAAATAAATATACTATTTAATAAATAAACAAAGTGTCTACTCAAATATGGGTAGACACTAAAACTAACATTTAAAGTGATAAAATCTATCAGATAAATAAATAAAAAATCCATTATTTCTTTAGATATTCGATAAGAAATACAGAAACCATTGCAAAGTAAAATGCCTTATTAGGTATCAAAATGGTGGCAAAAAGCACTTCATAACAAAAATATTTCTAATAAATTACAAAAGGGAATGCCAGTGTGAGGCAAGGAAAAGTCCCAACTGAAAACTTTATTTAATACCATTCTAGAAGTACTAGTTTATAGTCTTCAGCTTAACCCATTTGCCAAAAATCAATATTCTAATGTTTGGCGATTGAAATGTTGAATTTTAATCAGTCCAAGAACTTTTCAGCTCACCCTTGTATACTTAATGACACAATCATGGTACGATCTTGTAAACCAACTTGTTAACCATCACTCTATAATGATGATAACGAGTATCCATGACTGAAGAAATATCAATGAAAAGAGCAAAATGGAGAACATGGGTGAATGGTTAAATCAATAAATAGGTATCAAGTGAGTACAAGTAAATCTCATTTTAAAAAGAAAATGTTTAAGGATTAACTATAATTACCAGTGTTATGTGGAATAGTTTCAAAACTGACAAAGGAAACAAATAACTAACACCTTGGCCATGAGCGAGTTAGAAATAGGCAATGTATTTTTTTGAAACCATGCAATTAAACTTTTAACAAAACATTTTAGAAAAAATGCCTTATTTTGAGGCCAGTAATTTTGTTAAAGCTTGTTTCATTCTCTTTAAATCTAGAAACAAAAACAATTGAGGAATGCATCTAAATTTGATTCATAAAAAGCTAAATTAGCTCATTCAAGTGAGACTTGCTAAACCTATTTACAGATTCACCTAGAAGGTAAATAGATTTCATCAAAGCAAAAGGCATTCTTTTCCGATAAGACTTAAATCTCATGGATATAAATATTAAATTATCCTGAAGGAAAAGTGACTGGGAAAAAAAAAAATATTCCCATCAGCTTGATATATTGTTGGTATAGATGTTAAGATACTGAGAACATTACAAATTATAGAAACAAACTTGAAATTGTACATGAAATTATATAAAGACTTTGGAAGAAACAGATTCTACCTTAAGTGGAGACTGACAAAGAATTACTAAAAGTTGCAGAGAAGAGAACCATAAAAGATGCAATGTAGTTTAGAGAGAATCCATACTCACATTGGGATAGCAAAGGTTGAAAAATCTTCATCAGTAGAGACCATGGTAAGTTTAATAACCATAAGAGATTGCATATTGGAGACTCATTGATTTAAATGTTGGCTGAGGGAGAAAAAGCAGTAAAACAAGACAAGATCCATTCACTCTGCCAACCAGTCAGTATGTAAAGAGAAACTAAAATCAGATGACACCAGATTAGATGAAACTGAATTAGTTTGCAGGTGTAAAAGGGCCAGGTGAGAAGAGTTGGCAAAAAGGATGAAGGGGAGTGGGGTAGAGAAGTAAAAAGGGTGTTTGCAGTTACAGTAAACAAGAGTAAAGAGAGGATAACAGAAGCTTCCCCAAAAATAAAGGCGGAGGGGTTATTTTGCTCTCTAATCCTGATGGCAGCTGCCATCTGCCTTTCGTATCAGGATTTTTGACGGAAAATAAGTTAAACTAGTCAACATAAAAAAAAAAAAAAAAAAAAAAAAAAAAATCCTTACTCAGTATTAAAGTAAAATTCAAATAGCTTCTCTGTAATTTTAAAAAAGATTACCTTGGGAATATTAGAAAGGAAAAGGTTTAAATAAATTTTTCTAATTAAAATTTAAAATAAATGAAAATAATTCTTTTCAAAATTCATTAAAAATTTTTTTTAAGACAATAGTGTCCTTAACAAATCTTATTTATAAATTTCAATTAATATCCTTTTCTAAATAAATAATATTTTTATTGCATATTTTTATTTTACAATTCAGAACAGATTTGTTTGACAAGAACAAATTGATGATTTAAATTATCCAAGGAGTCCTGCTTTTAACTAATATAAATATGAAGACACTAGAATTTTAATTTCACAAAATTAAGTGAGGGTAACAGATGTTGAAAAAAAAAAAAAAAAAAAAAAAAAAGCAAAAAAGATTTTAATTAGAATTGATTCATTAACAAATTCTGTCATTCATGCCATTCTCAAGAGTATTTGCATATAAATGAATATAACAAACCTAACTTGAATTGGAACTTGGCTCTCTGGTTTACAATTGCAAGTCATTATCCATTGCACCACCTGCACCTCCAAGCTTACAGCACCTGATATTTCTAAATGGTCATCCATCAAGGTACTGACCAGGCTCAATGTTGCTTAACTTTGGTGATCATATGAGAACTCGTGTTTCAACGTGATATGCCTGTAAGTCTTCTGGTTTGGAAGAAGACAATGTAGTGAGCATAGTTCAGTTTTTCATGTTTTCTAAGAACTTTTGTCCAAGACAATTGTGTAAATTCCAGAATAGATGATAATCAAGTGGAGCAAGAATAAAGTAAAGTGGAATTTTATGATTGATCAAAGTGAACGCCTTTTCCTTCAAAGCAATATTTAAAAAGGCTTTAACTGCTAACATTATTGACATCTGCTGAAATAGTAATATTGACAGAGAGCAAGTGAAATTGGACCACATCAATACAATCCAATATTTTGGACTGGGCCGTTTTATGTCTTTTGTTATTGTCTGCATCACTTTATATTCTTGTAAAATATCATTACTAGTCACTGATCTGTCCCAAAATGGTTCATATGCATCCAAAAGAGTGCAAAAATCCATGCTTGCTTTAAAGTTGATTTGACAGATTTGTGTATGTGTATGTGGGGAGAGGGGGGAAGGTTCCTTTTCCAAGTTTAAGCACATTTTCCACATTTGTCTCAGATGATGGTAAACTGTTGAACATCTTAAATTCTTCAACCATAACAGCATTATTTCTATCAAGTTTGGGCAATCACCATTAACTTAGACAGGACAACTTGTTCATGTTACATCTCTTAGACCATGAACTACAAATGATGGGAATTACTATTGATTACAGTTAAGGTGTAATAACTTTCCTAATCTTTTCAAACCATCTTCAGTAATTTCTTTCATTTAAAGAATCTGGGAATTATCTAGTCCAATACATCGACATATGTATATATTTTTTTTTAATTAATAAATAAAGCATTTAAAAGAAGTATTCTTAAACAAGGATAACAGTAATATTAAAAACAAATCAGTAGGAGTTTATTTCAATCATATCTTTTGAATCTATTAAACAAAAATAATAGATAAAATATCAGTTATAAGATTTGATTTTTAAAAAAAAAAAAAAAAAACATTTCATTTTAAAGCAAAATAGTTTATGAAACAATGGGTATATATCTGTATCTGGTTTGGAAGCAAATGCTACCTGAAACCAATAGAACAAGATGTCATTCATGATCCATCAGTATGGTCACACCCCACAAAAAAAAAAAAAAAAAAATCCACACACCTAGAATAAAGAAACATCATTCATTCAAGCATAAAATTATATTTGCTGGCAGGCAAGACCTGGCACATGAATTGTAGATTCTTACTCATATCAGAGTATTACATGTGATTCTTTAGAAGGGTCAAATTACTAATTCAATCAATTGCATTTTGATGACATAACTCATTCATTTAAAGTTGTACGGACATATATTTGTATGCATTGTTATCATTTAGGCATTTTAGAAAAACAAAAATACCATTCAATCTACTGTTATCAACTTTCAGACATCATGAAATGACCCAATATCAAGATATTTATAGAATAAACTACATCTTTGTATACAAGTACAATGCTGACAGAATAACAAGCCAGAGTTTTGAGTCAACCTACAGACAAAAATTGCAATGATGATTTAATCTATAATTTACTTCAGTGAACTAACAGTGTGTCTAACATTATTAGCTACTTGTAATTTTCAGAAACATTAATATACAGGACATTTTAAATAATATATATAAATTATAGTTGACAAAATATCCCTATTATGATGTGGCAACAGTTTTATGAATTTTTCCAGATTTTCCAAGTTTCATTATTAACCAGATTACTGAAACTCCAAGGAAAATTATATTAGAATCAAAAGTTATAATTATAGAACATTTTAGAACATCTGCAAAGTTTACAAAAGATAATAGTTATGAACCAAACATTGAAGAAAAAAAAAAAAAAAAGTGTCATTGTAATGAAGTTATAAAGATAATATTGATATGCTCCATATCCTGAAACTTAAAATATGTTCATCTATTAATTTTCCAAATTGTATTTCTTCCTATGAAAGATTGGACAAACAAGATAGCATTCCAAAGTGAATCTCTGCACTCCGATGTAAATATTCCTTTTCAGAATGCTCTACAAGTTTTAAATTAGGTTAACATTGGATGAACAGTCCAACCACTTCATCAAATGAACATTTTTGAAAAACATTTTATACAGATATTAGTTTTCTCTGCCAAATGTGATAGAACATTTATGCTATTTACATTTTTTGGACTACTGTTCCTCATTTTTATTGTCATACTCATGATGTTTCACTTGTTATATTACCTGAAGAAGGCTGAAGCATACATGTTGGAATGTTGAACTGAACCCTTTATTTCATCCACCAGGGAAGATTGTTCTAGTGCCACACCTTTTCTAGATATCTCAGTTTCAGTTATCTCCCTTTAGTAACTCAACTCTCCAAGTTTTTGTTCACCTCTGCTGTGGCCAGGTATTGAACTCCCAACTCTTTGGGTCAAGTCACTTCAACCAATTCTTTTACTCCCTAGCCCATATGTTGAAGTAATCCAGTGACTTGACCCAAAGAGTTGGGAGTTCTACCCCAGTGGATGAAATAAAGGGTTCAGTTCAAAATATGTTACCTGAAGAAAGCTGGAGTGTACAACAGCTGAAATTTTGTTAATATAACAGTGAAGATAAGGACAATATAAATAGTGTAAATAGTTACAGTATCTCATCTTGGAAATAGACAAATATTGATAGAACATTGTCATTGATAAAAATCATCTGCTTCTGAATGCATCTGAACCATAGTCCCAAGTAGGTCTTTAAAAAAAAAAAAAAAAAAAATCAATCAATATTTGTTTGAGCTGTTATCTTAACACCATGTAGAACTTGCCAGGGGCCCACTACTTCATTACCTCTAATGCCACCATCTGTCTTCATTAAACAAACAAAAAAAACAAAAACAAACAAACAACAAAAAAAACAAAAACAAAAAACAAACAAACAAACAACAAGCAAACAAACAAAAAAACAAACACACACACAACAAGAGTAGTTGAAAAATCAATCTTTATATAAAGTCTGCTGCACAGTTCATTCAATTTTCCTTCTGGATACCTTTTAAATCAGACCTAATGATTAGTTTTACGTTTTGTTACTTGATTTATAAGTTAACACCTTGTACGTTTCAATACTCCCTTGCTGTCACAATATCTAAAAATTTCATAATGAGGTTTTTTTTTTTTTTTATAACTTCTCTCTTGATGTGAGATAAAATCCTTAACTTGCTCTTATCACACTAGCATCAAAAGCTGTCCAAGACTGTCAAAGTTTGGTGGTATCTGTCAGTCATTTTTACAATTTTCAGTATTGTTTTTTTTTTTTTCAAGCTATGAAGCCTTTAAACATTTCTCTTATGACAATTTAAAATTTTCAAATTCACAATGTGTTTATTAAGACTTCAAAATTCAAGACATTTTAGATAAATAGTTGTCATTTGTGCAGAACAAATCAGATTTCATTCTAACTGCACCCTGGTAGATGTCACCATCATTTGGTAAATAAACCAATAATAAGAGTATTTCATATATCAATAAAACATGAAGTGGCTAACAATTTTAGCACGCGTGCGTGTATACTGTAATTCCCTCATGTCAGTGTTTACTTGCTACAGTCCAGGAATGATGTGAAATAAAAAAAAAGTTTTATACCCTCAGGTATTTCATAGATTCATATTCCTTGTTGTCCTTTTATTGAATAGAGATACAAATAAAATGATTTTGACTCATTGAGTGCATTTTAGTGAAAAGAAAAAAAAAATTACATAACAAAATTTATAGAAAGCAAAATATAGAAGATACACTTGGAGGAAATTACATTTGTGGGAAAATTCTATGTCTTCAAATATCAACACACCATACAACAATAATGTATGATTGATTGTAGGACTTGAGCTCAAAAGTAAAAAATTAGTACAATGGGAAAATTAGTAAGCTAATAAAAAAAAAAAATCCTTTTCCTTGCGTAGTATGCAGATGTTACGAAAAAAAAATGCCTTGATGAATAGTTTGTACTTTTGAACTTGGCTAAATAAATTAGATAAGGTTCCTAAATTATGTAGATAAATAAACAAAAGTACCAAACTTTGGTCAGATAAATTAGTAAATAGCTTAGATAATTACTTAAGAAATTTGTAGATGATGACAGTGACTGGGAATTTTTTTTTTATTTATACTAATCTTTCATTTTAACCATAAATTGTTCTTGAGATACAAAATGATCACATATATATATATCTTACTTATAAAACGCAGAGTGTGTGTGTGTGGCTGTACGTTTATATATTGGATCGGATTTCCTACATTTTTAAACCGATTTCAACAAAACTCCACAGGACTGCGTAAAATTACCTTGCGGTGGTTCTGACAGCGCCAAAAATTGGAAAAGCAATTGCTTTTGCATGAAATCAATTTGAAAACACGCTAAAACACGATTCTGTCGCCAGAATGAAAGGGGGACAACTCATATAGAGTTATACTTATAAAACCCAGGTTGTGTGTGTGTGTGTGTGTGTGTGTTTTTATATATGAGATCGGATTTCCTACATTTTTCAACCGATTTCAACAAAACTTCACTTTTTTTTTGGCAGGTAGTGTTTTTTATTGTCTTGCACACTTATTTTCTTTATTTTTACATTCAGAATGCTTTAAAAATTCCATTTACAAGACAATTGTTTATAATAAAATTCTATTCAATCGATAGATTCATAACGATTGAAAACAATGTTTTTGTTTGAATTTGACCAATTCGTAAAAAAAAAAAAAAAAAAAAAACTAATTAAGACATGTGTGTCCGTCAACCTTAAACAATAATCTTTGTCAATTTTATTTTTCAGTCTTCATGAAGGTCGATACTTGATCTATCTCTTACTGTTACATCCCCGAGCAATGCCAGGCTCTACTGCTTATATATATATATATATATATATATACACACACACACACACACAGAGAGGAGAAGTCTCTCCAATCCAAAGAAATGTGATACCTAAGGTTTAAAATTAAATTTAAAAAATGAAAAATCTTAACTAGTAATCTTAAAGGTTTAGGAAAAAAAACTT